TACTACTACTACTACTACTACTACTACTACTACTACTACTACTACTACTACTAAGCTTACAACAACAAAAAACCCAACAACAACAGGAAAATAATTGATCTACTGTTGAGCTACTTTCACTTTAAAAACAACAGGGGTTGTTAGCGCTAGCCACTAGCAGAGCAGGAGGGAGGACTTTGGACTTTAGAAGGCAACGTAGGCAGTCGAGTTCCTCAACCAGAACTGTTCATGTTTCAATGACCCCCTGACGTATTTTACGTTCACAGGCCAATCGTCTGCTGTGTTCTAGAGTTCTTTGTATTGTTTTAGACATTGTCAATTTACTTGACCTATTTCTCATGAATCTTGTGAATAAGATTTCCGTGGAAACACTGAGAGACAGAGAGAGAGAGAGAGAGAGAGAGAGAGAGAGAGAGAGAGAGAGAGAGAGAGTAGATCTAATAAAATTGGTGGGTATAAGAGAAATAACAAGCCGTCAAATTTGGGTTGGGTTGGACAAACTTTCAAATTTTTCCTTTGCTATAACCCACTAAAAATACATGTAGGCCTACTGAACCTGTCTTTTCTCTTTTCTTTTGTTGACAGACACGCCCCAAAAAAGCAATCAGCTGATCCTCAGGTTACTATGCATTGGGTCGGCCTGACAAAAAACTCCCCCAAAACCCAAGACCAAAGCACTTTGTAAAAAGCTCACGTTCCGCAAGGAAAACCCTTGCATACACTGCATCTCTGATACAACATTGCTTTAAAACATCAGTAGAGAATTGTTAGCCTGCGTAATCTAATATTCATAATTCCCCTATTTTTAGTTCTCCGAGAGCGTACATGAAAAGGAAGCGAAACTAGGCTAGCCTAACTTTCCTCATTGGACCGGAACATCGTACGACTGTGGGATCACCGTATTATTATTACATTCTGCAGTTTCATTGGTTCGTGAAAAATTAGCGCATGCGTCAAAACTGTTTCCGTTTTTACTACGCTTATTATTTCTGCTTTTCTCTGACTCAGTGTAGTGGGATTGGAATCATCACACGCGTCTCTTTGGACAACGTATAAAAACAAATTGTGTTGGCCAACTACTTTGGTGACTGGTACACTTTTTTAGTCTTTTGCTGTAAAATTCAAGGTAAGTTGCAATATGTTTCCCAAAGGATACTGAAGGTTGTCACACGCGTTCTGGTAAGAGCGCATTACTAACTATTAGATCAGTTGAACCATACAATGACAATGAGAAGCCGTCTTATCAAGCCACAGTCTACTTTCGCTTTATGAAATGATTTTTAGTAGACCGGCAGATCAAGCATTTTAGGAGGTGCGGTAATGCTGTCTTAGTGTCTCGGCTTGAGCGTGGACAATTATTATAATTGTTGGATTCTTATTTCATATTGTAGCATTAGAGTTCTAGAATCTAGATCTAGATCTAGATCTAGATCTAGATCTAGATCTAGATTTCTAGTAGTTAAAACCATGCTATAAAAAATCCTCTTCCGACTTGTGTTAGATCCTCTATTTTCCTCCGCCCCGCCCAAGCCCAAGGCAGAGAGCTTTCTAGAGATCTCTAAACCTCTGCAGTCTGCAGGCTTTGAAAATTCCTATTCTAGACTAGATTCTAGATCTAGTTAATTAGGCCTATTTATAAAGGCAGGGTTGGGTCATTTCTTACTCCTCCTAGGCAAAATTGTATCCATCCTCTGTCTAGAATCTATTTCATCCTCAATTTTGACCTGGAGAGAAATAATATCATTAGGGTCTAAAGTGTCTTAAGCTTTTAACCATGCAATTTAAAGTTACGTTTCCGCGTAATTCTTTCGTGTTTGTGGAAATGCAATCCGACATATATTACATTTTTAAAACCGCTTGTTTCGTGTCAAACTGATCTATAAAGCATTACCCAAACGAAGAATTAATTTATCTTTGACTTGCGGGTCAAACTGAAAGCTTGTTAGCTTACTTCGCTTACTTTTGTATATTTGGCCCGTGCCATAACCATAGTACAATAATAACTTCTCATCGGACGATGGTACCGTCCAACCATGGTTACGGACCTCTACTACCGGACGCTGCCACTGCCCATACTTGGTTAAAGAGTTTATAATCTGGCACTGCCGTTGATCCTAAGGGGGTGAGTCAAAGACAAAGTAGATCTAGATTAAATATCTATTTAATAAATAAGGCGTGTATTGACTAATACTCTATATCAATGTTTTTTCCTAGGCCACGTCTATTCTCACCCCGGAATAGCGCAGTTGTAGGCTTCTCACCTGGGGTGAAAGGGCGAGCCTTTTGGCTATTCTCACCCGGTGTGCGATTACCGTGATACCCAGTGTAAACCACAGAATTCTACACTTTTTATTGAATTCTGTGGTGTTAAACGTTACAGCCCTCTTATGTTGAAAGCGTGCAATTTTGTCTGTGGGGTAGTGAGAGAGAGAGAGTAGCCAAGATCTAGTGAGAACTTCCGGGCAAAACAAAATGGAGACTGGCGTAGATCGGCTCGATTAAAAAAGTGAAATAGCCATCTTTGTTGACCACCAAATTACTTTACTTTTTTGTTAGATAACATCATTTTTTTTCTATGTTTTTGTCAATTTGATCATCCATGCTGATAGACAGTTTTCAGAAATTTTAAAGAAAAACAGAGGTCTTGTTTCACACTGGGTGAGAATAGCCAACGCTGGCAAGTCTCACCCGGGGTGAGAGGTCGATCATATTTTTATCCAAAACAAAGTGAGAGATGTGCTGCTATTTTTCAGTACAAAATGAGCAGTAATATTTCACTTGATTTTAACAGGGGGGAATGCCCCTTTCACCTGGGGGGAGGGGGGGCTGTATAAATTAACCAACCTTAATTTGATATTTTACAGTTTTAATTTTATTTAATATTTTCTTTTGCTTGCCACACATCAAAAATCGTAGCTTGAGCAATGAAAAGTTATCAATTCGAACCAAAAGTAACCTAATCGGTGGAGCTAGAACCCACTCTAGGTAACCGGTCATGAAATGACTTCGCATTATAATCTCTCCATTTAATTAAACGTAGAGTTTTGAAGGATCAGCTTTCTTTTTAAAAAGTTTTTTAAATTAAATGTTTGTCTTAACTGTTCCATAGAGTTGAACAATAGTTTAAATTAAAAGCAAAAACTGTCTGGTAAAGAATTAATATGGCTTTGTTTGAAAGTAAGGGTCTAGTAGCTTTTAGCAAAATTGCAGTACCGTACATTTCTATTAAATTAGCTAATTTATTTTTAACACAACTAATATAATATAATGATCTTTCCAATCACGCCTTTCATCAACGATAATGCCTAAAAACTTTGTTGATCTGACTCGATAAATTTCAATATTGTCAATACATGATATTTATGAAGGATGTAGCTGATCAAGTAGGCACGACGACTCGCACAGCCAATGTACTTTTTTAAATAGCTCCAACTGTCCAACAATGTTAAGGGAAATAATGGCTTTGTGTGTGTTCTGTGTACGAAAATTGAATATGCATTACACACCTATAAGGCCCATTTGCTGAGTCTTTGACTTTTCTCTCTCTCTCTCTCTTTCTCTCTCTCTTTCTCTCTCTCTCTCTCTCTCTCTCTCTCTGTCTCTCTCTCTTCATCTCTCTCTCTCTCTCTCTCTCTCTCTCTCTCTCTCTCTCTCTCTCTCTCTTTCTCTGTGCACTGTTTTCTTACCTTGCCTGAGACTTCCTAAGTCCTTCAGTGTCCAGTTGGATCTAATAATGAATTGGAACTTTAATTATTTCACAGAACGTTCATGATGCCAAGTTCCTCAAGCGTCAGTCATCAAGGATGGCCACAAGATGTCGGCATCGTTGCCCTGGAAATTTACTTCCCCTCCCAGTATGTGGACCAGACACAGCTTGAGGCATTTGACGGCGTCTCAGCTGGGAAGTACACCATAGGTCTTGGCCAGGGCAAGATGGGATTTTGCTCTGACAGAGAAGATATCAACACTCTCTGCTTGACAGTGGTGCAGAGGCTCATGCAGAGAAATAAAATTGGCTACAATGAAATTGGCCGCCTGGAGGTTGGTACCGAGACCATCATTGACAAATCGAAGAGCACAAAGACCGTGGTCATGCAGTTGTTTGAGGAGAGTGGTAATACAGACCTTGAGGGTGTGGACACCACTAACGCCTGCTATGGAGGCACCGCTGCATTGTTCAATGCTGCCAACTGGATTGAGTCTAGTGCTTGGGATGGTGAGATGCTCAGCTAACTTCTTTACAATGAATGTGTTTACTGTGTTTGTGACGTGGGGTGTAGGTGTTCCTTCAGTGTCGTTATCGTCTTCGGTCAAGGAGAAAATGCATCGCTGGTTTCTGTTGAAAAACCTTCACACTTTGCAGATTTATGTATTATTTTTGTTCTGTCTTAGAATTATTGTGAACATCGTCGGCTGAGAAGCAGGATATTGAGCAAACAGGATCTTACTTGAACTGAAGTTACTTGTAAGTCAATCTGATGAAATCCATTTACTTTGAAAAGAACAGGAATGACCTCAGTGGGGTCTGTTCTGGCTGAATCAAGAGTTATTGATGGCGGCAAGTCTAAATAATCTAAACGTACGGCTGTATTAGTCTTGACTTCTGAAACATCTAAGATCCATCCTTTTGTTCTCTTATTTTGACGCACATGCCTAATGTGGTCTTTGAAATTCACTTGTGATCTCCTGATTGCTGGATTAGATGTTGCCATCTGATTAGGTGCTACTGTTTGTTTTATTACTTGATTAGGTGGCTTTTGGGAAAGGGGATGTTTGCTGAGTTCTGTCTTGTGAAATCATGAGTTGTTAGGGAGACTTCTGTAACACTAAAATACCTGTTTTTACATACATTATAAGGGAAATTTTAAGGTGAAGTGGGATGGTGAAAAGTAGGGCCATAGGATGAAACCACTGTGTTTCCTTGTCTGTGGTGGTGCGTCAAGCTGTTTCAGTCCTTCTAAAACTATTTGCTTAATGTGTTAGTTGCAACGATGGTTTTGACTCAGCAGTTCATCTCTTGGATTGCATTTATTTCTGTAATTCATTTTTGCTTTGTTTAGAGTTAAAATTTGTCCCGGTCTCATTTGATGCTTTTAAGAATCATTTTGTTGGTGGTTGGCAGGTGCATCTGGTTTGGGTTTCTCCATCTTTCCTGTCAAACATCTATCATCCTTATATCTCCTTTTATTTGTAACTCATTGTCTGACCTCTCTACTAACACTTTTTCTATTCTTAGACACTTACACGACCTTTTTGTATTCTTTCAAGTGCTGTGCGGAAAAACTCTTTCTAAATGAACTAAGAATCACCCAAAAAAAAGTCTCTGTTGCTTGCTGCGTTTTATATTTTTGTCTTCTAAGGTGAGGTCTTATGTTACTTTCCTTGACAATTGTTAGTTCAGGCTTTGTTGTTGACAGCTCTGCTTTTGCTTCTGAACTATGCTGGTATCCCTGTTATCCTGTTTACCTTTTATATCTATGTTCCTTGCAAAATGAGGCTGTTGGCATGCAGACTCAATATGTTACTGCAAGTTTTTCTGTAAAAAGCTATGTCTCCCCTTTATCCTGTTACATGTTGTTTTAGGTTATGCAAAGCTCTCAGGTACAGATGTTTGTGAAAACTCAGTCTAATCAAATTCTGATGTGCTGATATTGATACCCCTTTTTAATGATTTTATATCACTCGCTTCTCATACAAGTTTTTATGTTTAAACAAACCTTGTCACTTGTATATCACGTATTGTATTTAATTGTGGATTCAAAACTCTGCAGTAACAGATATCTGAAATGTCATATCTGCCCACAGTCATATCAATCCCTGGTGTGATGATATGCTTGGTTGCATGGTTGCCTTTCAGTCTTTTATGGGTGGGTGGTTGGCGGGTGCTCTGGTATGGTTTGCTTTTTCTTTCCTTTCAATCATCTATCGTCCTTTTCTCCCCTTTTTCTTTTTTATGTTTGTTACTTGTAACACCTCTTATCTTCTCTACTAAAACAAAACAACAAAAAATCAGTCTTATGTCTTATGGGTAGTTGATGGATACTTGCTGTTTGTGCTGAGTCAGGTCAAACTGCAATATAACTATTTACTCTCACTCTTGTCCCACATCCTGTTATGAAAAATCCTGCAAGTCCCAAGTATTTTTATAATGCTGTAAGGTGTCAAGTGTTAGGTTGGTGAGCGTGCTTTGGTGTGGTCTGCTTCGTCTGTTTTTAAAAAAAATGAGTGTTTCTATTTTGTAATTAGTGTCTGTTGACATGTTGATTGGCTGTCAACTGCTATTCAACTATTATCTGCTCAGAATCATAGATAGTGTATGCTTGTCTTGTGTCATGTTTCAGGTCGCTATGCACTGGTGGTGGCTGGAGACATTGCCGTGTATGCCACAGGAAATGCCCGTTGCACAGGAGGGGCTGGAGCAGTGGCCATGTTGGTGGGGCCGAACGCTCCCCTGGTGTTGGACAGAGGTAAGATTCTGGACTCGGATGGTTTGTGGGTGCCCGGTCTTGTTGGAGTTTGTTTTAAGATGTCTGGCCTTGTAACGTCTTCACGAGAATCCTAACCCTGTTTGACCCTGAGCAATTCCATCTATCTGATTATCAAACTGATTTTTTAAACTCAGTTTTGTGATATTTTATAGGTTAATCAGGAGTGAAGTTATAGGGAAGTTTGTGTTGCTGAAATGAGGATAACAAAATAATCTGAGCTGTGTACAAATTTAGAATTTAATAACGTTCTTTGTGCTAGGAGTTAACTAACCTTTCAATTCTGAAGAGGGCTATAAACTTATAAAGTACCTCGCATAACTCCACACTTTTAGAGTTTTGTCAGTTCAGTGCTCAGATAAAAGTTCAAAATTTCTCCTTAAAGTCTAAGATTGTCTGAGTCTGAGTCTTAATTTTTTTTCTGTGACTTGTGTTGTGTAACCAGGAGTGCGCAGCTCTCACATGCAGCACGTGTACGACTTCTACAAGCCCGACATGAGCTCCGAGTACCCCACAGTGGATGGCAAGCTCAGTATCCAGTGTTACCTTCATGCCTTAGACATGTGCTACCAGCGCTACACAACCAAAGCCGTTGCTGCAGGGATCCGACGTAAGTTACTGCTTATCTTTTCGAGAAAGAAATAGAGATCGTGGCACAAAACATGAGTCATTTTAGATCATGTATATTTGTGTTTGAAACAAATTTTTCTCGTGTCCTAAGTGCAGGGGAATGTAAAGTATTTCCCTGCGTTTAGTTTACATGATATATCAGTTGTCTGAAAAGAATTTCAGGTTGGATCGTTTATATCGAGAAGATAGTGCTTAAAGATAATTGCTTTTATAGACACGTTTAGTCTTTTTGATTCTTGTCACCCAGTGTAATATATTCTGAAAAGTTCTCAGTACCTTGAATTGGTTTATTTCCCTCATCTTATTGAAATTAAAAGCATGTGGGACATATTGATGTGCAATCTTTTAACACATCTTACCTAACAAACTTTTTACTCTAAAGTTTTTCCAAACCATTTTGTTCAACATCAAACTGCCAGTTGTTACTTCTTTCTCATATTATAATAAAGGGACACTTTAAGGTTTTCATATGATATTTTAAAATATTTTTTGTCTGCTTTGAAGAGAACTGCAGTGTTAATTTAACCCTTGTATTTGCTTCTCAGCTGGCAACAGCACTATCGACATTGGAGATGGCTTCTTGTTCCACTCCCCTTACTGCAAGCTGGTACAGAAGTCATTTGCCCGCCTTTTGCTCAACGATTTCCTCAGAGATCCGAATCCAGATTTCCAAGGCCGATACAATGGGCTAGAGGCTTTCAGGTGAGTATTTTGAAAAAATCTTGCTTGATTAGATAATACCACAAAGATATAGATCTATTATTATGTCACATGACTTTTTGGTATTCAGCTCTTGATATGATGACACATCACATGATGTGTAGCTAGGTAGCTTGTAACAAGCTTCTTGAAATGATTAATGAAAATGATTTCCTTTCTGAACATGACCTGGAATGGTTTATAGCTGTTAGTGCGGTTTAGTATCCCCAAAAAGTCTCATGATTAGACTTTGGGCCATGTTGCAGATGACTTGGGTTCGAGTTCTACTTAATTCCATTGTTGTTTGAGAAGAATTCTTAAGGGTCAGCACTCTGTTATGCTGAGGTGGATGTCAGTTAATTTGGAGGTATCACCATTAAACGACTTATGTTGCTAAAAATCCATTTTCATTTTTATTTCAGAGAGATCAAACTGGAGGACACATATTTTGACCGGTCAGTAGAGGGAGCAGTGGTGACCGCAAGCAAGTCACTTTTTGAGGGCAAGACGAAACCATCACTGTTGGTAGCCAACCAGGTGGGCAACATGTACACACCCTCCCTCTACGGTGGACTTGCCAGCTTCATCGCCAGGTCAGTAGAACTGCACAATAAGGTTGCGTAAAAGCCTCTTTGATGCACACTCATACATGTGCGTGCGCACGCGCGCACACACACACACACACACACACACACACACACACACACACACACACACACACACACACACACACACACACACACACACACACACACACACCAACTCACAAACAGGGACTAACTGTTTCACTTTCCTTCTAATTTTTCTGACTGACTGACTGTCTTGCATTTTCCCTTGCTGTCTTTTCCCCAGCTCTAAATAGCTGTTTTTGTGTGGATGTTGCTGTGGTGATGATGTGTTTCTATTTACTCAAGTTGGAACTCACATCCATCCCTGATTTGAAGACTCCCAATGTAACCGTCAACTTTTCGTTCTATCTTATAACTTTAGCCTGTTGGAAAAGTGAACTAAATTGCCATTTCTCTGTATTGCAGTCACACCCTGGACTCCATCGCTGGCAAGCGTGTCGTGCTATTCTCCTACGGCTCTGGCCTGGCGTCCACCATGTTCTCCATGCAGTTCTCTGACAACAAAGCCCCGTCAGGAGCCCTGGACAAGCTGGTGTCCAGCCTGGCTGACCTCAAGCAGCGACTGGACAGTCGGCAGTGCGTTCCCCCACAAGACTTTGACAGCAACATGAAGCTCAGGGAACAGACTCACCATCTTGGTATGGCTAGTACATCATTTTGTCTAAAGGGAACTTCTTGGGTTTTTGGTTTTTTTTTTTGTGTTTCCATTCAGAGAAATACGATTGCAGTGCTTTGCCTATATCCTACCGTAAAGTAAAAATTTTTTTGAAAATCAAGTTCAGCAGAATTGTAAAGTTTATTCTGGTCAACTCAACCTGGAAAGGGATGGGGGTTGCACCAGTAGCAGATGGGTTAATCAGGAATATATAACGAGCAGGCTCAGAAATAAATACTTCACTGATGGCAAGGAACTGAATATTGATTTATTTTGTCTTGATATTTTAGTTAATGTATGCAATCTTAATTTAGTGTAAATGCTAAGCTGTTCGTATGTAGTAGGGTGCTGATTGACTTAGTATGGGACAAACTTTTAAAATAAAAGAACATAATAGTCTTATTCTCTCGTTCATATGTTCCTTGGTGAAGTATTTAAGAGTTGTAAGATTGATAACCACATGCCCTTTGAACTGACACACACTAGAACTTTTGGGTATCTCTGATTTTGTCACTTTATGCTCAGCACCATTGATTTATTGATGGAAAGAAAGCATTTGAAGCCAATTGCTTGATTGACATGTCTGAATCATACATTGCACCAATGTGCCTTGTGATGTGGTGTTAAAAGTTTGTCCATTAGTGTTTGTAAGTACAGGTCTGCCAACCGGTCCCTGGACTGTCTTGAATTGGGCATTGGGGAATTTAAGAGAAAGAAGACTACACTGCATCAAAACCAGCCCATTTGATATAATTTTGGGTCATTGTTCTAACTGTCATGCAGTCTAATGGTATAAAGTTGGGTGTCCTTTATTGGGTTTTGAAAAGGTTGGCAAGCCTGTAAGTACCATTAATACTGGAAGTCTGCTTTCTATTATTATATAGTAATCAAAACCATTGCTCCTGCCATTCCCAGCTCCATACACACCAGTGGGATCTCTCTCAGTCCTGTTCCCTGGCACATGGTACCTCTCTGAGGTGGATAGCATGCATCGGCGGAAGTACGAGAGAACATCTGCCAACTCAGGAGATGGAGATGTACAAATGGCAGAGGTCAGTACAGCTGTGAAATAAGTGTTAAGTGGACTTGGCTTAATATGGTGTCAAGGGGACAAGGGAATGCTGGATAATTAATAATAATAGTAATAATAATAGATAGCATTTGTATAGCGCATATCCCCGCTCAACAGCAGGCTCTATGCGCTTTACACTATATTATTACCCCAGCAGACCATAGTACACTCCGAAACATTCTCAGCTTCCCGGGAAGCATACAGTGCGAGCAGCCGATTAAGCGCTCAAACACTAACAAACTGACAAGATCTTTCGCTGTCTATAGCCGGGTACCCATTCTCACCTGGGTTAAGTGAGGAAAATTCGTGTAAAGTGCCTTTCCCAAGGACACAACGTCGGGCCCACGGGATTCGAACCCATGACCTTACGGTTGCGAGTCTGAGAGCCTAACCACTAGGCCACCGACGCCACATGCTAATTTAGTACAGTCGAACCTGTTCAAATGGCCACCTGTCCAAGACGATCACGCGTACAAACGACCTCTTCTCACTTTTCTTCATGTTTTTTCTCTCTTTTAATGGCAATGTTCATGCAGTCCATTTGTCTTAACCACTTTTCTCCTTCCCAGTGGTGGCCGTCTTGGATAATTTCAACTGTATTAAAAAGTGTCTGGCCAGTTTCCCAATGTTATGATCAGGATATTCAAGACAAAGGAATTACTGTGTTAAAAAATCACTTTTGGTCCTCAATCCTTTTAAGCGTAGTCCACTGTAATTTGTATGTACTCTATTTGATGACACAGACGCCTTTTTTAAACCTGGTTTTGGTTCGGTAAGGGTGAAGTTTCAAATATTCTTTATCTTTCTGTTTTAAAAAAAAATTCCCCTGAGAGAGGTTGTGCTTGTTTATCTGTCTGGTCCTGTCTATGAATAAGAAAAAATTACACAAAATGAGATGACTAATTTCTGCCAGTTCTGCAGTGACAGTGTAACACAATCGATATCATCAGCAAGCTGTTCAAATATACCAAGCCCAGAAAGCAACATTTTTCTGGAGATAAAAACCTGTTTCATTTGTTCAACGATTGTGCCTACATCATTTATCTTTTCTTGCTTTTTTTTCCCCCTCCAATATTTAGAATTGGAATTTCGACCAAATATTTCATGAGCACATACAACACTGAATCCAAGATGAAGGAATTGTAATGAAAAAAAAAAAGTAAAAATTTTGAGCTTTGTACATCTGAACCCCCACCCATCGTAATATGACTGGCCATCCCTCTGACCAGCTTCCACTCATCAAGAGTGGGGGAACAAACTAATCTTCCTCGTCAAAAATTTTTGGCACTGTGTTAAAGTATGTGAATGTTTTCCCGACTGCCGTATTGATATATGAGCCCTCTTTAAGGAATGTTCTCAGAAGTAGATAATTACTGGTTCATTAGCAAGCATTAGCATCTAATTAATTTTTAACTGTCTGAGTTGAAGATCCAGAATGTTTTGAAGTTGATACTGCTGAGCCCTGCTACTCTTTATTGGAACAGTGACCAGTTTGTTGATTCTCTGGTATGGCATGGCCTGCTCGATTGACTGTTTTAACCACCCCGGGGGGGGGGTAGTGCTACTATGACTGAAGTGTGTTTAGGCCATTCCCAAAGGGGGGACATTAACATGTTCTTATGCTCAGTTGAATTGTAAATGGGCTGATTCATCAATGTCATGCTCATAACTGTGCCTGAAATGCATACAGGAAACTGCTGCTTTTTCTTTCCTAATCCTTACTATCGTCATTTTCCCCCTACTTCTCTTGTATGTTTGTCTCTCCCTTGTGACCCGCTATTTCCGGGGTGCCTTGATAGTCGAAGCAGACTTTGTGCTGTTGAAGCAAGAGAGGTAAACAGAGTAAGCCTGGTTCCCTCTACCGACTTCTCTGTTGACATCCATCCCTTGGCGCTCATATGACCGTATGCAGTTGCGAACACCGTAAAAACTCTACTAAAACTTAAAAAAAACTGAACTGTTTTAACCAGCCTCTTTGTTACCTGTATGATGAGTGCTGTTAAGTCATTTTTAATGTGACAATGGAGGCAAGATGATGCTGTGACCAACAGCACTGATCATGCTTTGCGAAGTTGGAGGACCAAAAGGACGAGTGCTTTATGTCACTTCTTGTATTGGCTGTACTGTTTCTGTTAGACATGCTTCGTAAAACTGATTGTTTATTCAAATTTAATTCTTTCAATTTGAAGAAATCTGCTATGTTCAACTTTTTTCTTTGGTGTACCTTAGACTATCTAAATGAAGTTGGACACAAAACACCGTAGAGGTCATTTAGAGCAGGAAAAACATACAAGACAGACCAAAGAAGAAGAAAGTAGGACCTGTCAGTGGTGTCTTCTTACTACCCCCTTCCTTAGCTTTGCTTCTCTCATTCAGAGCCCTAATACTCTCCAACAACACTGCTGTATTCAAGATGGGGGCACTTTTTAATCCTGATTTGTGCAGATGCTTTTTTTTTTTTTTACTAGAAAATTAGCCAGGGAAAAATATTGCTTTCTTTGTTTGCAATGGAAAAGTACAGGAAAGCCCTGATAACATGAACATCTTGGTACCAGACAATTTCTTTGTGTGAACAAAGTTGAGGTGCAAAAGAGTGGGGGGGAAATAGACTAGATTTCAAATGCTTTCGCAGTAGCAGGAATTTTTGTGTACGACTTCACTTTAAATTGTCTATTGTAGGTGGGTCCTGGCTGCTCTTGATGTGGTTGTCCTCCTACTTCTTGTTAGTATTACTCTTATACTCATCCGTCCTTATTTTGTAGCTATTCGCCTGCCTGGCTATCAACTGTAATTCTATGCTGTACAAAACCATGTCTAAGGGATAATTCATAGGATTGCAAATTCCATATCTAATGTTACCTTTAAACATTGACAGATGCCATTATTGCTTGCATTTATCAGGTATAGATCAATAATATTAATTATATTTGACACTGTTTACAATACATGACGTCTGTGTTGTTCTTATACTTAATATCAATAATAATAATATTAATATCATTATATATATTTGCATATCCAGTGCTGTAGCTGTTAAGCAACATTGCATTATTACCCAAGCAGACGCTAGAAGTGGGTGGTTGGCGGGTGCTCTGGTGTGGTTTGCTTCTTCTTTCCTATCAAACATCTATCGTCCTTATCTCCCCTTCTTTTTTAAAATGTTTTTTTTACTCTCTTGTAACACCTTTAAACTTCTGGCGCTCATATACGACCTTATGCAGTTTCGAGCACCGTAAAACCTCAACTAAGACTAAGAGACCCTATATCACTCAGAAACATTCTCAGCTTCCCAGGAAGCACACAGTGGACTTTTTCACTACACAGAGAGGGACCTGATCACGATGATTCAGTGTACAGCGTAATTTGACCGTGCTGATTTTGTAATATGAAATTGACAAACAGCGTGTTTTTTAACGCTTTAAGTCTCGGTGTTGAAATACTCCAGGCTGTCTCTCATGGCTATCCTGCTGTCATTGTGGCTTGAGTCTCAAGTGGTGTCGGGTTACATTTAAATTAAAACTATCTCAACACCGCAGTAGCTACAAACATGGCGCTTTACCTGGGTGACAGCTGCTCTGTGTCAGCTGATGCTAATGAGGGCAGACTTCCTAAGTTTGTGTCTCTGGCCGAGCAATACAAGCTGAGTATTGCACAATGTTTTCCCCTTGGATGGGAAAATGTCTCTCAAGTCAGGGATGGTTGGACTTGTTTTGTTTTACCCACATACAAAATATTATGTTTCCCATATTTCCTTGACTTCACAATAAGCAGGTGGGTGGTTGGCAGGTGCTCTGGTGTGGTTTGCTCCTCCTTTCCTATCAAACATCTATCGTCCTTATCTCCTCCTTCTTTTTTATGTTTGTTACTCTCTTGTAACACCTCTAATCTTCTGGCGCTCATATGACACCCCCCCCCCCCCCCGGGCAGTGCCACTGACTGTAGTGTCTTTAGGCCATTCAAAAGGAAGACATTTCTCGTTCAAGCACAGTAGAATTGTAAATGGGCTGATTCATGTCACACTCATAACTGTGCCTGATCTACAACAGGGAACTGCTGCTTTTTCTTTCCTAATCCTTACTATTGTCATTTTCCTCTACTTCTTTTGTATGTTTGTCGCACTCTTGTGACCTGCTATTTCCGGGGTGCCTTGATAGTTGAAGCAGACCTTGTGCTGTTGAAGCTAGAGAGGTGAGCAGAGTAAGTCTGATTCCCTGTAAAGACTTCTCTGTTGACACCCACCACTTTGCGCTCATATGACCTTATGTTGCGAGCGCTGTAAAACCTCTACTATAATAATAAATCATATGACCTTATGCAGTTGTGAGCGCCGTAAAACCTCTACTATAAAAATAAACCATATGACCTTATGCAGTTGCGAGCGCCGTAAAACTAAAACAATAAGGAAAGCAAGCCCATTATTGCTCATAGACTTGTTTCGGGTGAAAAATAAACAGCAATTTAAAAAAAAGTTTTTTCAAGGTCTGAAATTTTATAGTTCGAACTCGGTTTTTTTAATGTTGAGTTACGTAACAGTTGACCTAAAATTATGATACCTGCTAGTAAAGTTATTGATTGTAATTAGTCTTGGGAAGGGATGTGTACAGAGCAATATTTCTGAAAGTTTTCGTGTAGTAGGGTTGCGAATGGAAGTTATGAAGCGTGTTGATAGGGGGTGTTTTGGGGGGGGGGGTGGTTTGATAAAAAAACACAGCTTGTGCATTCAACGTTCTGGGGATCGAAGTAGTTCCCAGCATAAAGAAATCCACAAAATTTATATACAAACATTCTCAGAATGTCATTCAGTTACTCATACTGACAGTGACCTGAGGATCATTATTATTTCCTAGCTATAGGGAGGTTGGAGGGCATTTACTTTTTTGTTTTTGTCCTAGATTTTTTCCTGAAAATATCCGCAAACATATCGATATAATGCTGGGGGTTTTTTTTTACTCACGTAAACCCTTTTTACCGTCTTTGTGTCCCTGTTTCTGACTCATGCTCACTGCAGGTGGTAGGTGAGGGCTCTGGTGTGGTCTATTCTTTCTACTCCTTTTCAATGTTGCTGTTGTCTTGTAGTGAATCTTGGCAGAATTTGGCCATTATAGTGTGAATTGGCTGTAGCAGTCTTTAAGGGTTAAACAATTACAATATGTAGTGTTCTTAGATTTTCCTATAGCGACGGTATTATGTCCCAAGTATATTTCTGTTTTGACTCCCAACTGGCTGCCTCATGAAAGTATTATTTTGTCTCTCTGCAGGTGAAGCAATCGTCCAACGTGTCGGCCAGTTCTCAGAGTGCGTCAGCCAGAAGCTAACCTGGACGCTTCTTAGGTCATTGCCTTTTTACATATATTATTGTGACAGAACTTTGCAGAAATGAGGCTTCAGTCGTTGAAAATGAAACAGAAATTAAAATAAATTGGTGTGTTACAATAGTGATATTGTATTTTGTATCGGCACGTTTGGGGTTAGGGATGTCAATAACTTGTGTCGAAAAACGTGAGCAGATGGAAACGTATGTCTTAATTTGTCCTTTCTTTTAAACTTTAAGAGATTTTACAGTGTTATCTCAGCGTCTTTAGCCTTGTTTCAGCTTGACGTATGACAAATATATGCGACATAGCAGTAACAGTGCTTTTCAGCAGTGGAAAATTAATTTGCACAAATATTGCTCATTGTTTTAGGATATTCTTTTTATTTGTGTAAAAAAAAAGCAAAAAAAAACAACAACCTTTATAGCAGAATGTGGGAGAAAATGGGTCATGTAGAAAATGAGTGATTTATTGAGTTCACACAGTTCACTGGCAGAGTGGCTGTTGTACATGTGTATGTGTGTGTTTGTAAGAGAAGTGGTGTTACATTGAGTTGTGATGCTTGACATGTGAGATTTTGAAACTCTCTTATATAATATATAAATTCAGTTGAGTACTCTCAGAAATTGACAGACATCTGGGGTGTACATGTTATGTTCTTTACCATGCTTGCAAGCAATGTACTAATGTTTTCCTGCATGGTGAAGGTATTCTATTGAGTAGCTCCGTCTTTCCACTCGGATGTAGTATCCCATGAAGCTTGGGTTGGCCTCCGCAGGGAGTGTCAAAGGAGCCCATTTCATTCATCAGTCTTCTTAATTGTGTCTGTGGGGGTGTAAATTATTTACAATCTATCTCAGAAGTTTGTAGTGTTGAAAGACAACAGAAGAACTTTAAATCAAAGTGAAAAAGAACTGAGGAAGGGATGTGTTTGGCGCTTTTTTGGGGTTAGTTTTCATGTAGTTGGAATGTGAAGACAAGCCTAAAAGCTTGTTAAGAGGGTTTTTTTTAAGCTCGGTTTCATACCATCAAAGTTCCAGCAAAAGAAATGGTTTCCACCGTTGTAAACGACTCAAAGGACTGAAATAAGGGGGTTTGGGATGGGGTGGGGGGGTGTCATGCATAAAACGGCATTCGTCAGCTGATATTATTTATGTTCATAATATTCTGCTTATTGAAGGCTCCCATTTTTCAGTTTGACTGTCAGTGTGGGGAGATACATACTATTCCTTAAAAAATTGTCGTCATTAATAGCACGGTTTCCTATTTGGTGATGGACATCATCAGCACCATGTATCTCCACCCCGTACATTGTTACTGAATTGTGAACCTAAGTGCATGTAGTATTGAAGTCTGGAAAGTGTAAGTATTGAAAGTGAAATGTCTGAGAAGTTTTGACTATTACTGTTGCTTGTTTGATGGGGAGTCACTCTATGGATCTTTTCAGAATTAATCAAATCTGATAAATCTGAAATCGTCCTTATCCCTCCTCCTTCTCTTTTGTGTTTGTTACTCGCTAACACGTCTAATCTTTGGCACTGATATGACCTGATTGTGTTGCAAGTGCCGTAAAACGCTTACTATATCAAACAAACATTTTGTGTTGTAGGCTGTTCAGCAAAATGTGGAGATCTTGTCAAGTTTGAGCAGAGCCCATTTATGTAAAGAGGTTGGCTCTTGATTTTGCAGTATTCAGAATTGTACATGAGGGAAGAGTGAGAAGAGTGAATGAACTGTATTACTGACTTTATTCTGTGCTGTGTTCTTGTTTTTAGGGGTATTGAAATGTCTCCCAACCTTAAAAGTTCGAATGATTGTTGTCTGTTGTTGTGCTCTTTTAAGGTCATCTTGGTTTGTTTTGTTTTTATTTCTTTTACCCGTTCTCATGGGCTTTTCCCAGTCGTAAAGTTTTAGGTTTGCAATCAAAGTTCATAATATTTGCAGCTATGTTTCAATTTATTTGTATGTTGTCATTCTTATCTGTCATACAACAACAACGCTCATTTTTAATTTCTCACATCCTTTTTTTTGTTACGTCTACTCGGCTGCATTCCTGGTACTTGTTTTGCTTTTTTAAAAGTCTTTTAAGCTTTAATGAAATCCTTTTCGTAATGACATGTTTTGTGTTACTTACGATGACTATGTTGATCTCTCAGGTAAAGCTTTCATTTTCTTAATTACTAGTTCCTGTTGACTTTATTCTTTTTGTAATCTTTTTTCTTTTACCATAGAAGCTTACTTTGTTCTATTTGTTAAAAATCAATCAGTCGAAGGGTGCAAACAGTGTAAAATGATTTTATAGTTAAGTTGGCCTCGCCTTTTTTTTCTTATATAATGTTAGTATTTTGTGCTGTATATAAATAATTATATTTACGGGAGGGCTGGGGGAGATAGTCAGGCAATCATGTTTTATTGCTTAGGGCAGCAAATGGTCGAATACTCTCTCAGCTTTCAGTCTCTTGGTGCGTGTGTGTGTATGAGAAGTCCCAAATGAATTTTTTATGTATGATGGTTTTCATGTAGTCAATTTTGCGTTCAGTGTCTGTGTACCCTGATTGTTTTTTTTGTTTTTTCAGTGTTGTATTTTTGTTGGTTTTTCCCTCCTAGAAGTGCTCTGTGCCATGCTCTGAAGAGAAAAGTCAGTATCTTTACAAATTCATTACATTTTTATGTATCTTTAGTTTACATGTGGCTTATTTTTGTAGATATTGTCTTCAATAAAGTCCACAGTAAAGTGATCAAACGACAAATACAAACTGCATGTGTTTTTTGAAGAGTTGTAGTTGTTTTGTTTTTTTTTGTAACTGTTGTGCTTTATTGCTTGGAGATTACTCTCAATTTAATGTTATTAACGATTCGACACAGATGAAAGAACACACAGATTTACATTCATGTGTACATATGTATTTTATAGTTGTGTGTAAGCACACAGGAAGATACACATGCCATAGCTATTTTCTATGAAGTTCACTTCTTCTAAACTCGTACTCTTGAGGAACGGAAAAATCTTTGCGGATTAAGAAAATTCATAAAAATGGACTTATCTGTGGCACCGTCCATAGTGATCAAAGCTATCATACTTGTATGCACTGTGAGGTTGACGTTGAACACCTCACATTTACAACAAAAAATAAGTTTTGTAAATTGGGGAGAGAGGAGGGTTATGTGTACTCTTGTGATATTTCATGTTAGTTGCTTTTTTTCTCTCTTCTTTTTATACAGATTTAAACGGGTGGGGTTTTTTTTCCCTCCTGTATTTAACACTCTTAAATGCGTTTTGTATCAATCCTTTTGGTCTGAATGGGATGAAAATTCTGTTTTTGCCTCTCCCCCGCCCCCTCTCTCTCTCTGGCTGGGCCAACATATAGTCTTCAATAGGAATTGAATTGAGAATCAAAAACTTAGTAATACCATATTAGGTTATACATTTGCTGTAAACTGACAGAAAAGAATAGCCACCATCAAGGTTACGGTTGGCCAAATTGTTGGGAGTTTTTTTTTTAACTTAACAATATACATAATATAATAGTTTTCACTGATATGCTGTATATTTTTATGAAACTTAAAGCATCCTTGAAATTTGTAGGCAGTAGATGCATGTGTAGTAAAAAATTTTGTGTCCTCTGGATCTTTGTGTGTAGGTTTATGTGTATGTACAGTCCACCATGCCAATCATTACTTTTACTTTTAGCGTACAATCAAATCGCCTCGTGACATGCTTGCTGTGCCCCAGACTCATCATTATCTCGTTGGACCAGATTCTCATTGCCATAGAGCGACACCTGTGAATGTTATTTCTTTACATTGTTGTATTGTGGTTTTTTGTTGTTGTTTTGTTCACTGGTTTTTCTTTGTTATGAGCACTAGTCTTATGGTGAGGAAGGAGGTACCGGTTGAAACTACACGCTGGTTTAGTGGTACGTCATGACAGTGTATCTTGATATAAATATATACAGATTCTACAAACATTTTGTGTTTCTTTTGTCATATCATGTGTGAAGAACAGAAATACTTTATTTTATTTTTTTTTGCAAGTGAAAATGAATTGGCTGCATTTGTAGTTATATAAAACTGTATACTTGTCAGCAGTAACTGTTTATCTCGGTATGTACTTGCTCTGTGTTTTATGTCAGTCATGACTACGTCAACAAATATGTACAGTTTAACCTGATGTGGCTACCCACCTTCTATTGCAGTGGTTACGTTATGGGGAGGGGGGGGACAAACAGTCGTTTTTTCTACGTAATTGGCCCACATGATAGCTTTGGCCTCACTTTTAGTATATGGCTTCTTCCTGAATACAATTTTTAAAAAGACTTAAAGTAATAACTTTGCTTTTGAATGCTTCTTGACCCCATAATAAGGGAAATAATATTAATATCCTTGTCGAAGGCACTTCAGCCAAACATTTTTAGAAAGAAAAAGTGCACACAAATTTGACAATTGGCGTTGTCAGATTTGCAGGGTTTTTTGGGTTTTTTTTAGTTCAGAGGGATTTTTAGTTTCTCATAAAAATATGAACCACATGTATACTGCTCACTTTACACAAGTTTTTCTGTGCATGTTTTATATGAGAGGAGACTCTGGTGCTTTGTGGCTGTATCTGAATGCATCTGTGTCATTGATGGCTATGTGTCTCGGTATACTAAAGACATGAATGTGTATTTCTTCTGCTCAGTGTAAAACTCCCGTCATACACCACTTTTCAAAATTATATGACCTTATTGTGTTGTAATTGTAAGTGCTGTAAAACTTTTACTAAAACTAAATTTTTCAAAATGGCACATACATACATATTATATGTCGGAGTCTTACACCAAGCAGATGGTTTATTAAAAGTACAGTGTAAATCTTTGCATTGATGTGAACCTGAGTGAGCACGGATCTGGAGGTGGTGGCGATGTACTGACTGTGATGTCGACGTGTGATACACTGCAGTACTTAGATTGTACGGATGTGTGTGTGTCGGTCGATGGATCAGACTGGGATGCCGGGCAAGTCTGGGAGGTTTTGTGGATGCTGGATATTATTTGCCTGTGTTCTGTTGTGACTTTCTTTTGAGCCACATCAGGTCAGCGCTAGACTCGAAGGTCGTGGATGATGTCATCACAAAAACTTTCAGTGTTGTCGGGCATTTGAATCTGAGCGTTTGTGCCAATAAATATTCATAATATTCTTACCTCAACATTGCCTTTTGGTTAATTATTTTTGTGTTCTGGATGAAAGAACAGGGGGGGGGGGGGGGGCTTCTCGTGGTCTAAAGGGTAAGGTGTTTGCTTCTCATTCAGTAGGTCATGGGTTCGAATCCGGATTGCAATGGAACATTTTCATCTCTAAAATTTTCTCTTTTCACATCCTTTCCTGCTCTACTCTCTGACAACGTTCTGTCGTCTGCTTTCGTTTCTATTTTCTACCGCCACCTCACTTCCTTTGCCCCATCCTTTGGGCTCCTGGCTCTTTCTGTGGCCTTTTTACTGCTACTCCTTGGCTCTTTCTTACTGCTGTCTTTCAGCCACACTCCTGGTCTTATGGTAGGGAAGATCTACACCCAACCTTGGACAAGGGCGAAAAATCCCGGATGACCCGTGTGCAAATTACGCACTTTAAAGATCCCTCGGTGGTCCAAAATCGATAAGAGTAAGCTTCGGCCGCCACCTGGGCTAAATAAAAAATTTCCAACCTATCGAAAGTGTAAAAAAATGTTTCCTGCGCGCTCGTATGACCTTATACAGTTACGAACGCGTAAAACACTTACTCCCCCCCACACACACACACACACAAATACATCAACCACCAACCCAATTTCTCATCTCTATCACCATATGGCTATTGACCCCCCCCCCTCCCTCCATACACACACAAAAAAACTACTAGCCTACATGTAATTGCAAATAGTTGAACGAAGTGCATCACTTGTGGGTTTTACTTTTTTACTGTCCCTCTTTTAAGATTCTTGCCATTGTTTATTAGGTCTTTCTTTTTTCCTCCACTAAATAACTTTGTTGATGTGCATCTCTCTAACTGAAAGAAGAGTAAGACATACACGTCTGGTTTTTTTCCCCTTTTAATAAGATTAAGACATATTATGAGACGCGGGTTTCTAAACATATTGTTCGGATGTGTAGTTCCTCGGTGGTTGGCTCCTTACTGTAAAAAAAAAAAAGTGATGGGATGCAATACGCCCGCTGACAAGATCTGACCGTAATATTATCGAGCCGCCAAATATTCCTCTTCCAATGGTTTAGGGTATCTAGAAACCTGACAGTGGATCAGGTGAAAGTATTTTTGTTGCTGTTTTTAAATTAATTGCTCTCAGCAAAGCATAGCCACAACTCTATTGTCAGCTCTTCTTCAAGAAAAAAATCGTGAGGTTCTTCAGGTAGTGCAATATA